GAATACTCCAAGTTGGAAGAGATGCTTAAGGATCACTGACTGCAACTCCTGGCTTCACACAGGTTCACCCAAAAATCAGACCATACGTTTGAGAAACAGATCCTTACTCCTTCAGGGAATGAAAACTGATGTGTGTATGAAAAGGTTTTTTATAAGCAGTTACAAGAAAATCTATGGAAGCTTAAGAAAGCAATTTCTAAGTTTTAATCATCAGCAATGCTAAAATAAGAGCCCAAAAGAACATTGAGAAGATGCAACCAGAGAGCTACTGTGGTTGCTGCTGAGCTCCTGGGAGCTGTTCTCCTGCTAGGACAACCCATATTTCATAGAATCAGAGAATCCTGAAGGTTAGAAAAGACCACTGTGATCATGTAGTCCAACTACATGCCACCCCACCATGCCCACTGACCACGTCCCTCAGTGCCACATCTCCATGGTTACCTCCAGGGATGGTAACCCCACCACGTCCCTGGCAGCCTGTGCACTCAGTGCATTGCCATTCTTTCAGAGTTTTTCCTAATATTCAACCTGAACCTCCTCTGGCACAACTTAAGGCTACCTCTCATCCTATTTAGAATTACATATCTCAAAGAAGAGGGAAAAATGGAAGACCATTTTCATGTAATAGAAGGCAATCTGGACACCAACTGTGTCCAAAGCATGAGTGGGACAAGGAGTGGGGATGGATAAAGCACTAAACAAAAAAGTTGCAGTGACTGGCATGAACACATGTGGCAACACCAGGAAGACTAATAAAGCAAGTTCAAGGCGATCCTTCCTGAGTCTCACCCTCTTCTGCCAGCTTCTTGCACCTGCGCTGACTGCTATTGCTCATCTTTTCTTTCTGATCCTGTCACCATGCGTGGGCTGCAGGCATGTGTCTCCAGGCTCTGTGAGCAGGCAGAGCATCTCGCTTACATCTCAGCAATCAAAGGAGATTTAGAAGCTATCAGGTGGGCTTGCTCCTTCAGAGCCCTCTCGGTGACAGTGCCACACAAGTGCAGCTTTCAGGATGACGGCTGCTGCCAGTGTAAGCTTTGGTAATAGAAATGGCAGCTGAAATTTAAACTGAGACATTTCTAAGGGTTTCTCGTCATCTGAAATTTTAAACTGCTGTGTAACACTGTAAGGCACAGTTCTCTTAGCCAGGATGGCTTACTTCAGAGCAGTTTTGTGAATTCCCCAGAGAGCCCAGCATTGGTACAGGAGCTATAAGCTGAACTGATCACAGAATCATGGAATCACAAAATCTTAGAATGGCTTAGGTTGGAAGGGACCTTAAAAATTATTGAGCTCCAGCCTGCCTGCTGTGGGCTGGTTGCCAACCACATCAGGCTGTCCAGGGCCCCATTAACCTGGCCTTGAGCACCTCCAGGGATGTGGCAATCATCACCCTACAATATCTCATTGGGATTCACAGCTTTGTGATTCTGCCTGAGACCAACCTCTCTATAGCCTCTTAGTCATGATGGATGAGTCTGGAGTGATGTGAGCACACAATGACCAGAATATGGCCCAGGACCTTCAGCTGACAGAGGAAGTATGAAGGGCATGTAAGAACTCTGTAGATTCACTTAGCCGTGTGCTTGAGAGGCATGCAGTGCATGTAACCTCTTTATACATTACTTTTTGTCTTTTCTCCCATGCAATTGCACCAAAATCGACATGCATTTGAAGAAAGGCAACATTGCCAAAGGGCTGCCAAATTCCAGGTCAGCCCTTAACTATGAAATGAAGCAGGGTACATTTTCTCCTCCCAAACAGTATATATAAATGCACATTCTCTTTGCACATGCTAAAATATTTAAATATGCAAAAATATGGATTATAATTAGGGGAAAGTTAGAATAGATTTGAATGTTTAACATACCCTTGGTAGATCTTGTTTCAATTCTGCATGATGTCCTCTACACAAAAAGATACTTGACCATAATTGTGCCCTTTCAGTGTAATTACGTAATTTTTGCTTTTTTTCACGTTGCTCTTCCTTTGTGAGCTCTGCTGTGGTTTTCAAGACCACCCTGGAGAAAGGAGGTGAGGGCCACTGCAGAGATGAGGCTCACAGGACTGAGGCTCCCAACAGACAGCAGGGAATTTTAACCCTCTGTGCCTCACAAGGCTGCCCTTGACACAAAGTTTAACATATCATAACGCCTGCAGCGCGACACCCAAGGAACTGAGGCTTAAACAGCTGTAATCACAGAATCACAGAATCACTTGAGTTGGAAGAGACCTTTAAAGGTCATCTAGTCCCAGCCCCCTACAATGAACAGGAACATCAACAACTCAATCAGGTTGCTCAGAAACCAGTCCAAATAATTTATTCTGTGGGAATATATGTGTTGATCAAGGGATTTTTTGTTGGGTAAGAGATCATATGTCTTTGGAATGGGCATCACCAGAAATGACAGTTCTTTGTATGACTCAGGATGTCTTTTCCCACAGCCCTTATTCTTATTGAGACACTACAGCTATGCAACTTTATTAGTGTTTTGTAGGAATGCAAATACAAAGCTCATCATGCAGTTATCTTGTCCACTGCTGAGCTTCTTCCAATTTTTATTTACTTATCGTGCCAATGTATTTTGAGCCTTCAAGTTGGAATTCTCTCACATGCACATATTTTCCCCTTTAGGAATTTGACAAAAGTGAGTTCTGGATATCTGAACACGCTTCGTATTGGACCCATTTCAGCAGTAGACCATTAATGCCTCAAAGGCTGACCCATCTATTTACGTCTTTGCAGTGGGGAACAGCAATGACCTACAGCTGCCGCTTATCGAAGCCTGCAAAACACTAACAAAAAAGCTATTCAGTGTACTTCTCAACTCCTTTCCTCTATTTCACATATGTGTTAGCAGTGAACTACACTACTTCCCTACAGTTCATCTATTCTGTGGCAATGTGACAATATTAACCTAATATTTATTGAAAATTTTGCAAACAGACGCAGTGTGGAAACTGAGTATTTGGGCTTGCTTCTTCTAATGAACTTCTCATTTTGTTTCACCCTGAATCCTTGGTGTTTATATTGCATCTGATAGTTTGAAGAAGTTTTGTTACTATCTTCAGCTCAGTTTTTATTTACAATGCTCCATCGCATTAAAATACTTCTCATATATCAATTATTTCCCTCATATCTCCAATAGATCTTACTAAAGCTCACATTTACTTGTCGTACAGCATAAAATGGATTTCCACTTGCCTAACCTGCTAACACACATGCCAGCACCTACATGGACACACTGTGCAGCAAAATAGAAATCCACATTTCTCTATTTTTCAAGTACCATAAGCTGTAAAATTCCCAAACCCTCCATGCTTCATGCTACTGTTTGCTAGCAACTGTGAACAGTGCTCTTTATCCTGAGGAACGGGGAATATAGTTCTGAAACATATACACATACATATGCATACAGAAATGCACTTCCAGGCCTCCTGGGCACTCATGTGCAAAGTTTTAACAAACTTTTAATCTGCATTCTGAAGGAAGAAGCTAAGAATTTTTAAGACTGTGATCCTTTGTCATGCACAGTGGGTATAGCAGAAAGGTGAGCATAAAAAATTCCCCCTCAAAAAAGAAAAAGTCTCCAGAATTAAACTCATTTATACAATACTACACATTTATACTGCTTAGTATTGGCAGGTTGTCTGATATTAAGGCAGTCTACTATATTCAAACTTCACTTTTCAAGTTACTGTGCTTGTAAGTTTAACATACACAAGGTTGGGAGTAGCAAAAGTCTTCAGAGAGAAAACAGATACTATCCCTAGTCAGCCTTATGCCCAAAATGTTTTCACATATTCCTGTTTTATGTTCAGCTAAAAGAGGGAAGCAATGGACAGGACCTCCCTAGCGCTTTATCACCGAGCACACAATTGCCCCACAAAAAGCCCAAACAATATAGCAACTGTGCCTCCAAAACAGCCCATTTCCAGAAATACATTTTTTAAAATGAGATGAACTATTCCCTAAAAGTGTTTGACAAAATTTCTCACCTCTTTTCTTGCAATCTAAATATCTGTTCAGACAATGGGGCAATTTTCTGACTCCTTGCCCTTCCAGCTCCCCATGGGCTGGTCAATGCCTAAGACCAGCCAGTGAGCAGAAGCACTGAAAAGACTTCCACAATGAAAAGTAATGGTTAACAGCTAATTTGTGTCTATCTCCCTCACACTGAGTCATTCCTCAAAGGACTTTTTTTAGGACAGCCCTTCTCTAAGGACTCTTTTTCTTCAGATCTTGCTTTTACTCAACTAGGAGATAGAGGATCCCTCCTGACAACTCAATCCACTGGCATTAGAGGATGCTGGATCAAGGCTGAAGGGAATGGAAAACATTAACTATTAGGTACATGGAGCCAAGAGCCGCAGTTGTTAAGAAGGGAAATAAAGATGTTTCCCACTTTTCACCAGTAATTCAAAGCACACAGAATTTTTCAGCCATTACTACTGAGTGCCCTTGGGAATGAATAATACAGTCTGGAATGCCACAGCAAAGAATAGGCAAATAACTTTTTTTCCTGTCTAAATGCATACAGTCACATATATTCTCACTTTCTCTGTCACATCAGCACCTACCTAGTTTTATTTAAGAGAACTACCCACCCATGCTGTCACACAAATTTAACCAAGCTATTCCCCGGTAAAGCGCACTGAGAAAAATCCCTATCATTGACAACTTAAGACTCATTCTGTACCATTCCCATGATTCAGTTGAAAGGAAAAAACAGGATCCTGTGTGAGAAATGGTTTAATTGCTCTTGTTAGAAGAATTAGCCTAGACAACCACAAAGAACACAAAGAAAGGGAATGTCTCTTTTTGGAGACCGACTTTGCTCTTGGATATGCAGGTGTAACTTATTCTGAAGTTACTAACATATCAAAGGCAGGATAAGGCCATTACACATTTGCATCATGAGCAATGGATCCACAGCAAGGATAGGAACTAAGGAAATATCTTAGTAAGATGCAACTAAAAAAACACTTTCACTGCCTACCTGCTCCATTTCTGTAAACGTGCTCTGCTCCTCATCTTCCTCCTCGATATCAGACTCTCCCACAGCAATAGGAACACAAATTGACAGGTCAGGATTGGTCATGAAGTCATCGTTGTCTGTAATTCCTAGGTGCTTCTCCACATTTTTATTCATCCCATCCTCAGTGTGGTTCTCTTTGTGATGCTCCATGTCTTTGCCAAGCTCAGCAGTTAGGTGACTGTTGACACAATTGTTAAGGGCACCTGTATTCTGGGCAGCAAGTTTCATCATTGCCTTCTTTTCAGCTGTTGTCTTGGGATGCCGGAGGACACTGCAGCAAAAATCCCACGTTGTGTGTTTCACATACTGAAGACCCCTGTTGATCCGAGCAAAGGCAAGCTGCAGGTTGTTCATCTCTCCATCCTCATCTGGTGCCGAAAGGTTGTCAGCACTGAAAGAGCTGAGCAGCAAGGCAAGGAACAAGTTGAGCACCTGAAACAAAGTTAAGAGCAAATCAGTGACCCTGAAAAGTGGAGGGCAAATGTTTGGTTGTGGACGAGGGAGGGTTTGAGTCTTTTCTGTGCTTCAGTAACATTACCAGTGTTTGTGGAAATACCTCTAATTACAGGTAGTTTCAGTAGAAATGAAGCTCTCCAGACTTATCCAAAAACATTAATTTCAGGTGGAGAAGTTTGGCATGGGCAATTAAACACATTGATATTCTCTTTCCCTGTCTATTATCCAAAAAGATAAAAAAGGTAATGCTCAGAAACAGAATACAGGATGAAATTTTCACTGGAAGGAATCTAATGTAAATATTCTCCTAACTGGTGGTATCATGAATGTCCTTTCATTGCTAATATTACATGTCGGAGAAAATTGCTAATAGCAACAATTACTGACATCCAGAAAAGTACTGCTTACATGCACAAAAATTATAGGAAGAACGTTCTCAGGACTCTTGATTTTTACTCACAGTGAATATTATTTCTATATCACAGTGATATAATGGTACACATATGCATGGCACTTCACCCTAATAACATATTTGGAAAATGTTTTAAACATTTTATGTATTTTCATGGATACTTGATTTGAATAGCCTCTTGGCCTTGAAGAAAACCTCTTGCAACTGTGAATTAACACCTAAGAGAACATACAGTTTCAAAACATTTGCCCTGCAGACAAAAAGAAGCCAACACACCCAGAATTAATGTGGCTGAAACTGAAAAATGCTCATTCTGCAAGCAGGCTTGGTCATGGAAATGCTGCAACTGAGCGATTCGGATTGGATATAAGGAAAAAGATTTTTTACCGTAAGGACAGTGAGCTGGCACTGGTTGCCCAGAGAGGTGGTGGATGTTTTGTCCTTGGAGACATCCAAGGTTAGGCTGGATGGGACTCTGAGCACCTGATGGAGCCCCTGTTCATTCCAGAGAAGTTGGACCACATGGCCTTTAAGGGTGCCTTCTAACTCTATGACAATTCTATGACTCTACAATCAGTAAAATACCATCTGAAGATATCCACACATGTATGGTAAATTGAACCAGAGACCGTAAACTGGCTTCCTCTTGCTCCTGCAACTTCATAACTGCCTACCTCTGCTTGCACTGAGTTCCAAGATTAGATACAACTACACATTTCAGGAACATATTTGATGATTTACAGATCTTTAAGCTTCCCCCCCCCTCCCCCCCCTCCCCTAATAAATACATTTAAAACCAATGAAGAAAACCAGTTTCCTCTTGAAGGCCATCCCCAGTAATACATCCTTCTGACTGATTACCAGCTGTTGCACATGAGTCATTATTCCTGCCTATGGTGCAAGAGAATGAAGAACGGCTTCCGAAATACATAGGTGAGAAGCTCACACTGGAGAGAGATGTCTGCGTTGATGGGATGATGCAGAGCTGACTCAAACCAATATCAGCTAAAATATATTCACTCTAAATAACGGGGTACCAAACTGCCTGCTATCAACTCAGTTGATAAGAACAAGACTGATGGATGCAGTCCATAGCAATGCAAGGGAGAGTTTGGCATTGCAGCCCTTCTGCTGTTGTAGCAATAAAAGGGATATCTGTTAAGATATTCTTTCTGTGATCTCTTAATGCCACCAGAATTACTTGCAAGTCCCCTGACTATCTTATTATGTTTTAAATTGATAAAGTCTGCTAGCCTGCCATATGCAGCATAGAAAGTACTTCTATTTATCTGGCCCTACCAAACAGGCACAAGCTTTTGCGGTCTCCTTCCAACCCTTCCTTTCAAATACTTGGAATACACGAGCTGGAATTTTGCAGACGAGCCTGGTCTTAATCACTCCAGTGACACGTTATTCGAAGTGTCCTGTCAGGACTGTTTCATAATGTACTCACTGCAATCACTATGATTATAAATGAAAGCAGTCAGCAGTGCTGCAGATGCCCATGTCCATTACAAACTACAGAATAAAGCAATGCCATTCTGAGTGCAGCCCTGTTCAAAAGTAAAGTGAGATTAAAGCTAATTGTTTCTTAGTTGGTCCATCACATTGGAGTGCTGCTGACAGCTTGCGTGGATCTCCTCTTAATCATCGCCGTTGTTTGGTACAAATCAGGGTTTCATCTCATACCCATTCGGATGTATTGTGAGCAATGATCTCCAACAGGTCGCTGAGAACCATAGCACTGGCAATTGGCTACTATGCCAAACAGAAGGAGCCCATCAACAAATGAGTTACTGGCACAACTGTGTCATCTATTTTCAAGCAAATTTGATAGAGTTATATGAGGTCTCAGAGATAACCAGTTTTCAACAAATATCCTGGAAATGAGCCCTTGGGCAGAGGTAATATCCAGGTCATTAATACAGACAGAGCTTAGAATAAGCCACAAGTGTATCTTCTCAGCAGCAACTTAGTGAGGTGTGAAGGAGTATGAAGACAGGAGACTGAGAAACGCTGACCTAAAGTCTTCTGGACAGTGTGGTTTCAATTAAGTTACTTTAATAAAGGTGTAATATTGATGTTTGAGGCCGTCTGAGACATTCAGAACATACCCACAAGAGGTGAGTATATTCCTAAAGCTGCATCTGTCATCCAAGCAGGGCATGATGGGGTATTACAGCAGACACCAGGCTAACGATGTTCAAGGACACAAACTGCCTCCAGGCTCCAGCACCAAAGCTCAGTGGTCTAATGGGGCATCTAAGCCCCATTTCAATTTAAGAAAGGTTCACAGAATAGTCAACAGAGCCTAACCAAACAGAGGTGACCACATTAGGGGCTGCCTATATGTAGGTAGACATCTAGTGCCAACTGACCCTAGCATGCCCAAGTCATCCCAAGGCACCTTATGCATACAGTAACTTGGGCTGATGTTACATAATTTTAATGAGAGCCTAGCCAGCCTGGATACTCAACAGTATCCCCAGTGGTGCCAGAGAGAACTGGGTCAAGTCACATATCTCCACAGACTGTTATGGGGGCTGGGACCCTTTCCTCAAACACAGAAACTCCACACAAGCACCCAAATATTGAAATCTGAAAGTGAACTTCATTCTCTGCTTAGTTGTACTGCATGCAGAATAACTTTTTTGAAATGCCTTGTTTTATTTTTCTGTATTTATTTCTGATGTTCAACTACAGTTACGTTTGTCTATTCAGATACACTTGAAGGTATATATAAAATAGGTGGTAACATACTATTGTTATTTACCATGGATTATCAAGGCCGTGCCGTGTGCTTCCCAGAAATGGATCTGACATTTCGCACAAAGAGCTATTTGCACTTCATGCTTTCAGCCAAAAATAAATCTCAAATCACTCCCTCTTTCCTTTATGAGCAGGTAACCTCAGAGGTGTATTGTAGGGTGTTCAAACAGAGTAAACTGCTGCATAAGCACTTTGTATTTACTTATTCCCATTTCACTGTATGGCACATTTTCTAGAATAATACATGCTCAACCCATGACACATCATGTTTTCTGTAAAAGGTTACTAATAATATCCAGTTTTCCTGGTTGCTAACGCAATGATTTCAGTTTAAGTAAAAGCAAACTAAAGACAAATCTAGTTTTCAAAAGCTATGGTAGATTTGCACATCCATCAAGACCCCCTCAAAAAGGGATCTTCTTTCCAGTAACATAAAAAACCCAGTCTCTGAAAGCAGGTCACTTTTTTGGTCACTTTGAGGTTAGAAATCAAATGATGCATACACTCAAAGAAACCCCAAATCCTTTAGCATAATGATGTTCAGCATTTACCCTAATGGCAATAAATAGATCATGCTTTCATGGGCACTTCTAATGCCTTTCCAATGCTAGGGGTTCTGGTTCTGCCATTATAAGATGCAAAGGATCAAATTTCATCCAGCCTAATGTTGGGTACTTCCCTGAGAAGTACCTCTGGAGGAGTTTTCATAGCATCATAAAATCATGGAGGTTGGAAAAGACCTCTAAGATCATTCAGTCCAACTGCCAACCCATCCCCACCATGCCCAATGACCACATCCCTCAGTGACACATCTCCACACTTCTTTAACACCCAGGGATGGTGACCTCACCAACACAGCTTAATTTCAGGTGACACCTTCTGATCAAACCCTCTTTAAAAACATCTGTATGCAAAGTCTGATGCCAGAGCAAAAGTGTGTGACTACTGCCTCATTTTTCTTCCTTTCTTATATTTACCTTGACTTGGCAAAAATGGAAGGCTGTAAATCTTTATGCATTTAACCTTCCATCTCCCATTCAGTCAAACAACGTGCAGCCCTTGCAATCCCCTGTGCTCCTGTGTATTGATTCAGCAATGTATTCACTGCCCTGCACTCTGACTGAGATCCCTGAGACATAGAGCATTTGGCACCTTGCTCAGTGCTGCACAGAATACAGGCTGAAATATCACTGCTAAGTCTAAGGCCACTTCACAGATTTAAAATCATTCTGTTTTTCATTAAACTAGGATCAAGAACAATGTTGCACCTGCACAAACCTAATGAGAGGGTTAAACCATCTCCAAGGCAAGGCCTTCAGCTGATGGTTTTGTTTGATTGCAGGGGATCTGATAGGAGCTCACCTCCCTGGCTTCTCCTGTAATGAGATCTTTCCTGACGCACACTGCCAACAAAACGAGGCAGCTTCATTTTCAAACTTCAGTCCTTTTCTGTGCATGAGGCTTAACCAACCTTTTACACTGTGCACAAATACAGCCAGATGTTCTCATCTGCCTGGGTCACACTGAACAGATCCCAGCAGGTAGGACCCAGAAATGGTACCTTTGCAGTGGAGGAGATTCACAAATAATCCAGGAATTGCTCTCAAGAGCAATTCTTAGAATCATAGAACCATTATGGTTGGAAAAGACCACTAAGATATCTAGTCCAACTGTCAACCCATCACCACCATGCCCACCATATCTTCTTCCTTTGTAAACCCACAAGCACCCTCTAAAAACCCAGACATTTTCAGACTGAAAATGTGTATTGTCTTCTGCAATGCAAGAGATGGAG